TACAAAAAGAAATTTGTTTTTAAAATTAAAGTCATTAAATTTTTCTAAAATTATTTTTTCAATTTCGGTTATAAGGCTTTTGCCTTGATATTTTTCCTAATTGTATGGCTTATTTATTGGTTTTTTTTTTTTTTTTTGTTCTTCCCTTCCTCGCCTTATAGGCTATACGGGATTTTCCCGGGTCGGGGGATGAGGGCGGGGAATTTAAAATCCCCTCCGGCACCGGGACGCGAACTCGTACTTTTTTATCATCTCAAATCTTTGTTCTCCGATTACCAGGCAACTCGCGGTGCTGTGCGCGCACACTTTAGCCCATTCGGCCACCCCGCCCCCTATATTTATTGTTTCTGGCAAGTCATAAAATCTGATTTTTCGCCATAACTTTTCTTGTTCACAAACACTGGAGAATTATAAGAGTGGGCTCCCTCCCCCACCAAAAAGGTAGATATATATATATATATATATATTTTTCATTTGTTCATATTATTTCCTATGAGTGATCTGTGACAAATTGGATACATTTTTTTCATCGTAATGCATGTTTTTCATACTATTTTTTTTTAAATTTAATGTAAGAGAACTAGCAACAAGAAATTCTAATTTCTCTAAAACTTGGTTATTCTTAAGTGAATTTGTACTAGAATTCAATTATTTTTAATCCCACTTTTTTTCTTTTTTTATACCAGTTTTCTATTCTAAATATAAGCACGTGTCCAGAAAACATATAAAGATTTGAAAAAAATTATCTTGTAGATTGACAAAAAAACTTAAAATAACTATCCACTTTTTTATAACTATTCACTTACGTTATAATTAAGCACTTTGTTGTAGGGCATTTATGTTTTTAAAAAATATCCCAGCAAGTCTAGCAAAAGAAATGATAATACTGTTTTAAGTATTTTTTCGTTTATGGTACTTACAGACTAATGCAATCTTATAACTTATCTCTAAAGAAAATCATATTTAGTCTTCAATATAATCTTTAATTGATTAAAGGCCTTTAGGAAAAACATTTTACAAAGCTTTATGACAAGTTTCATTAGTAAAACCACATATAAAACGCTGAAAAACCAAGGTTGCGCAACTGTAATAGTTGTCTGACCTTTTGTTAAAATGGGTTGTTTAACTTAACTATTAACAAGTTGCTACGTTGGTTTTATAAGGTTGTAAATAAAATTTTTGGTTGCAATGAGATCGTTGCCTAAAAACCTAAAATTCTCAGCTTTCCAACGATACATTAAACGTGTAAATTAAGGTTGTTATTTCTGGAAATTCATTTTCAACCGAATAAAATAATTTTTTTTTCTCTTTTAGTTAATTAATAAATTCTTTCATACAATATGTTCTTTTTTATTGTTACTGGGAATAACAGAAAGTCATTTTTTTAAATAAACCGAATTAAAGTCATGGGTGATAAATATTCAGGATGCAGTCTTTTTTGAAAAAAAAATTAAATTTTTTATTTATGCCAACGTTTCAACCCAAACATGTAGGTCATCTTCGGGGCTGAAAATTTTTAAAATACAATCAGAGATATAATATTATACGATTGATAATGGTAAATAATAAACTATAGTGATTGATGATACATGAATCTTAACTAATATTGCAATACACATATTAAAAATGAAATATGAAATAAAAAGTCTTTTCACTTACCTACCAAATGTGTCAGTACCCTCAGTGCTCAAACCACAGATAGTAAGAGAAAATATTACATATTTGTATAAATAGATTATATATATATTAGTTTTTAATATTTAGTTTGTATAACTATATACATATTTCATTTTTAATATGTTTTATAGCAATATTAATTAAGATTCATGTACCATCAATCACTATAGTTTATTATTTACCATTACCGATCGTATAATATTATATCTCTGATTGCATTTTAAAAAATGTTCAGCCCTGAAGATGACCCACATTTTTGGGTTGAAACGGCATAAATAAATATAATATTTATCACCCACGCTATGTAAAACAGTTGAATAACTTCCTTCAATAATTCATCAAATTAAAGTTACTTTAGAGAATGAAATGATGAATATTGGGCGTTTAGGCCCTGTAAAACTACATCAATGAGGATAAGACCTAGCTGATATTAAAAACAACTTAATCATACATTGATGTACAAAGTTTAATCAAAATCGTTAGAGCCGTCTTCGATACCAAAATCGATGGTATAAAGTGTAATTTTCGGTTCACCGATCTTGACGAAAAAGTTGCCGTAACATCCTATGTTTTATTTTAGGAATTTCCGTAGTTGACTGTTCTACACATCATGGGTGATAAATATTCAGGACGCAGCCATTATAAAGTTTCTATTGGTGACGACGTTTCAATCCAAACATGTGGTTCATTATCAGGACTTGTTTTGAGCACTGAAGCTATTCAGGTACTCTGAAGGGCTAGAAACACCACGCCCTGATGATGAACCACATGTTTGGGTTGAAACGTCGTAACCAATTGAAACTTTATATTGACTGCTTCCTGAATATTCATCGCCCGTAACATCCTATGCATATACAAACTTAAATACGACTTTTCGTTTTTGGGCTAGACTGTTCACACACACAGACCATTTTGCGAACTTGCTATTTGGACTCAGCAGACCTGAATTTCATGTATGAAGTGTATTGCCGTTGAAAACTCGGATTCGAAAATTTTCACGATCTCAATACTTTCCCGTACTGAATATTTCATATATAGGTAATTAAAAGTAATATACCTCAGCTAATAATTAATAAGAAACGTATTTCCTAACAGTTGTTAGTAATTAATTGGTCTTAAAATATCTTTTCAATTAGTATAATATTAATTTAAAGTAATTGGTTTTGTGATTACTATTAGGAACTTAACGATTTATAACCTCTAGTTAATAATTGGTGCCTCAGGGCTAAGAGGGGTGGTATTAAATTGGTAATAAAACGGGAATGGCATCTGTTTTATTAAGCCGGAAGCTTTCGTGAAATATTTAATTATCATGGAACCGACTTTGTTGAAACGCATCAAGTCAAGGAGATTTTTTTCTTTTCTGTAGTTTGTCTTTAATTAGACTTTGGACTACATGCAAAAAGCATGGTTGGATAAAATGGCTTGATGATGGCTTATTTCCGAAACGTAGCTATGAAAATTAAAATAAATATGGTAAAAAAATAAACAGAGCCTTATTTTATAATATGGTATTTATTTATTTATTTTTTTGTCTTCAATCACGCCTACCGAGTAACAGAGCGGAAATAAAGTGACGGAACACTAGGATTAAAATAATTCTGTACTCCGAGGATAAAGAAAACCATGTCCATTATTGTATTTTCCATGACTTCGAGTTTTTAAAATTTGTTTCTTAGCTACAAAATCTGGGAGGTAAAGGATACTATGTCACATTTTTGTATTTGTTCGGGAAACCAATTTTCAATAACTTTGAGATATTAAAATTTTGTTTCTTACTTACTAAATTATTTAATTAACAAACGGACATGGTGTCCTTTACCTCCGGGACACAAAATTAAGATTATTAAAATAAAGTTATTAAATATTTATGGCTGTTCCCATGCGCAGTAGGATGAGTAAGGGAAAACATCATCGGATAAATCTATTTTATTTTTTTTCAATTGAACTATTCTATAAACCAGTAAAAAATGTATATTCTGCCAACTGATATTTTCGGAAGCTCCACAAGGTATCAATAAAACAGTTTATCTGGTTTTTGGAGTTCTAAAAAAATAATAGAATCAGATAGATTTAAATAGACGTCGCAAGTTTTCCATTACTAGTTACCAGCTGTGCTACGGTTCTTTCATTTTGCAATAAAATTAGGACCTAATCCATGACAGCTGTTTGCGAAAAACTAAGTCCAAAAATGCCATTACTAAATATTTAAATAAATAATTTATTTGAAGAAAGCCATATATCTAATTTTCCGAAGCCGGTTAATATAAACCCATGGTAGTGCAAATTCTACAATATTTATTTTGGAGTTTTTAAGGTTTATAAATTGATTATAAAATTTATTAAAATTGGTGGCATTAAGACAATTGAATTTCAGGGTTAATCATTACTTATTATTAGTATAATTACATTATGCAGTATAAATAAGATGGATATGGGATAGCTGCGTGAAATGACAGCAACATTAAATTTAAAGATGGACAGATTAAAAAGAAATTAAATGAGTGAAGATCAATTATGGTAATCATTTGTGTCAAATGGCTACTATGAATCACTCATTACCTCATCCGACAAGCAAGGATGGGAAAGGTGCGTAAACTTATCGGTTTGGTATTTCACACTCACAATTACCGATAATATGAGGCGACCTTTAGCGTGGGGCAACGCCGATGATCGCCAATGATCGCTTATAATTTTGATTTATGCACTCAAAACTTATGATTTCCTTAGATTATCAAATCCGTGGTTTGCTAGAACCGTGACGGGAAATCATACCTTCGCATTTTTTGGAAGAGCTACTTTCCAAACTTACATTCTATTTTACTGGTGTTTGCTATTTATAAACAGGCGATGAATGGAGTAACCAGACGTAAACAAGACGAAAGTTGGATTTCTCCTAAGATTTCAGTTAGTGTAGTCTACGTTTCATTTAGGCCGATTTAAGATTTTATTCTATTATAATAATACAGGTACTCTTTGAAAAACAAATTAACTACACAATCGTGTAACTTTCTTAAGATTTTAGAAGTTTTATATAGACAAATCTGAAGTATAAAAGGTTTCATAAAACACGCTTCCTTTTGATTCCAAAAGTATAATCATTTCAGGAAGGAGAAATTATGAAGTTAGTGAAGCTTATTTGTTTAACCGCGCTTTCAGGAATTTCAGAAACTACAATTACAATTTGATTTTTTTTTTTTTTTATAGAAACAATGTTTATTAAATTAAACGAACAGATAATAAATTTAATTTATTAGGGTTACATGACAGTTATTTTTTATATTACTTTTGAATACAATCTGATATCCTCTTGTGTATTAGTATTAACGCTGGAGCACACAAAACGCGATTGATCTCAGCGTTATGATATCGCTGACTGAGGAAATTGGGGCGTTACTTGCTATTCCACTATCACAGATATACAGAGGTTGATATTCTGTAGCGATACAGACGAAGGATTTTGCAGATTCTGTATGCCTCGTTCTATAGATTTAGACTAACTGAAAATATTTTAAATAAAAATTAAAGCATTCTAATATGCTTCTATATAATTCCATTATTTTTTTAAAAACACTTAAAAAATCTTGGTTTTGCCGGACCAATAGACCAAAACTGGTATGAAATATAGCAGTATGGATAACTTTCGAAGAACAGAACTTTTATGATCATTGTAGATTTTTAAATTATAGAAATTAATTTCATACAGCTATTATTATTACTTATAACAAATAATTAAATACATAATGTCGATTACAAGAGATGTACATAGAAAATTCAAGTGATAAAAGCTCAAGAAGAAAACACCACCTTACATCAATGACAAAATGTTTACTCAGGTGTTTGCATTTATTTTGCAAAATAGTAGAATTTGGAGTTATCCCTTTTTGTTAGTAGACGCCTAATTTACTTAAACTATCACCGACATAAGTGATAAGTTGCAAAGGGGATTCTAAAGATGATTATGGGGATTTCAAACACAGATGCGGATTGTACTCAGTTGTTTTTGACTAGAATTTAAAGGCAATAGATGTTTTTCCTTGAGTGAAAAACATCTTCAATGCTTCTCTTATGAAGTTTTATTAATTTTAAATTTACAATTCTTCTTAACTTTGGGTTTCCACAAAATTATTGAATTCTTCTCGTACCCAGTCCTTACAATCCTAATCCTTCCTTAAGATTCTTATTATGACACAAGTAAAATTTTCCATATAGACTTTATAACAATATTCTCTTTGTTGAAGGATTGGCTTGAATTAGATACTCCTCTTTTAATTTCAAACTCTTTGGGCATCCCAACCCTCTAGTTCATAACCTTTCATCCAAAATAATTTCTGACAATCCTCCGAGGTGACTAAAAAAAAGATGGCCATAGAATCTCCTAAGTTAATCTAATCTTTGAAGTGTTGCCAATTTCATTAGTTTCTTCACAAGTTCTTATCATGTTTCATGTTTTTTTTTTTTACCAGATTTACTTGTATAATGTATGCAGTTGTAAATATCAATTGATGGTTAATAAAACAAATCAAAAATCCATATAATACCACCATTCATTCTGTGGTTCGGAAGAAACGTAATTAACAGCACTCATAGGGAAAATATATTTTTCAGGGTGGATTAATATTTTTAGTCGATTCTTCTTCTGCGTTCTTCCTTATATGACTAGGTCAGGAACTAAAATGAAGAATTCGGTAGTCCTCCACAGGTCCTCCAGGCTTCCATATAGTTTCATTTCCAATTCAGTGAGAGAGGACCAGATCAACTTCCTTTGCTGGGAGTAGGCCATGTACGTTTGTAGGATATGTTCCACATTCTGTACACCCTCACCGCACTCGCAGAGGGAACTAGAGCCAATTTTGAACTTACTGAATTGGTGAGCTTTGAGCCTGTTGTGTCCAGTTCGTAAGCGAAAGGTCAAGACCTGATCTCGTCGAGTTAGTCCATAGATCGCATCTCTGGGGTCGTGAAGTAGATGATTTCTGAGCCAATATTGGTTAATAATCGCTTCATTGATTGTTTTTACCTCGTCTAGTCGATTTATTATATATATATATATTTTTTAATTCATCGGTTGAGAACAAAATTTCAAACCCATAAAAAATAAATTATACTAATACCAATAAAGTTCTCAAATTAAGATAAAAGATTAGTTTAAGATAGAGATAAATTTAATTAATTATTTAAGTTAGAACTTTATTTAGTTCAGAAGTTAATTTAATAATTAATTTAATTTTTCTTCTTATCAAATTATAGTACGCAAAGGACATAATTACTGGCGTACTGGTACATAATTATATGTTGAAATTTGTTTTAGAGAAATCTCGCATTATACCTTCGTCTGTTGAAGGGATAAGATGCATAGGCTACTCCAGACGGTCAATAAATCTAGATGCAATCCCACATTCTTGTAACCTGAAATTTCTGACCGGCATCAGGTTTCATGGCTATTGCTGCTACCATAAACTGTCTACTACGAAGAGCAGTAATCTGTTAATGTAAGCAATCCAGTGGAACAAATCCGTTATAACGGCATCGATCTTCCCCGATAGTCGGTTTGGCGGGCAGATGATGATGGATGAAGCGATCTGACCATCATTTAGATGATGGGCCGGTGTTGAGGTATGACCAAAAGGTGACCGGTCCTTGGCAAGCGTCTCAATGAAAGGTCTCCTTCGTGCATCCCCCGGTCGCCTAGGACCTTTCCTTAATGGCACAAGGTCGTCCCCTATGTCCGTCATTCATAAAAGCTATTTGTCCATCCAATATAGTTCTGGAACTACTGAGAATAGAAAAGGATTGCGGAATACCTTGCGAGAAAACAGGACCGAATGCTTGGTATTCAAGCTCTGGCTTTCTGAACCGAATATTATTTCCATGAAATGTTTGGACAAAACAGAATAGCAAAAGACAAAAAACATAAACGAAAAAAAATTACTTTATTTTATAAAATTTTATTCCTTACAAATTTATCTTACAAATTTTATTCAATACAAATCCTTCTTTAAATAAAAAAACAATATTTCATTGGACGCTCTGAGTACCAAAAATGAAAAAAACAAAGTGTTATTATTTCTTGAACTTGTAACTAATTAAAATCAAGTAACTCTCGAACTCTTAACCCCACCTAAGTCAAACCAGCATGTCTGGAAAGAAGATTCAAAATTTCCGTGACACATTAAAAAAAATATAGGAATACAAATTTGGAATTGCACCAAAGTATTTCCTATATTTACAAATTGAAAACGTTGGTAGCCCTTGATACGTATGATTGTTCTTACTTCATATCTATAATGAATTGATTAATTTTTTTTATCTAATCACATATCATATGCGAATTTCACTACAACTTTGAGGAACGTGTCACAATTAGTGTTGCCCAAAATCGGTCTTGGTCTTGCACTTTGCAAGACCAAGACCAATGTCGCCTAAGTGTTGCAAGACCAAGACCAGGAGACTGGTAATAAAAAACCGATTTTTTAAAATAAAAATTAAGGTAAAATAGTTACTAATACTTGACAATCTTAGTTACTATATGTTAATAATTCGAAAACCAATATACTTTTGCATTTCCTCTAATTTTTCATTCGGGCTTAGTTAGGTTTCCCCTATCTAAAAAATTACAGTAATATATAGTAATAAGCTAATAAGTAATTGCAAGACTGTTACGAGAATCTAGAGCATGACCAAGACTGAGTTTACAAGACCAAGACTTATCACGGTCTTGCATTTAGGCAACACTACTCACAATTATCCACAACTAAATAGGTAACAAAGTGAACACTTTTTTATTTGTTTTTATACATATGTCAAGTTAAATAAAAAAAACGTAAAACCTCAAATTTTGAGAGGGGGTAAATTTTTAAATTTTTCGTTCGATCATAATGGTTCATTATTGAAAATATTAAACCAAAAATATTTAAAAATCGCGGTATCTTTACTGATAGTGCTTTGATTTCGATGAAAGGTTTTTTGTTTTTTTTTAGGAAATTTAAATACCTTTGAAACATCTTATCACAATATGGACAAAAAAGTGTACACTTTTTGAGTTATTCGAAATCTAATTTTACCGTCTCTCGTAACTTTTTTTCCAGCTCCTTTTCGTTGAAATATGTTATATGGGTAAATTTAAAGGGCGTCGAGAAAATGACTTAGCGAAGTTTCATTGAAATCGGTACATTCGTTTAGGCACTACAGTCTATAGTAGCGCATATATAAGAGGAAGTAGAGGAAAGAATCCAATAAAATTGACAATACATCATTTTTTCACCAATATCTATTTTTTTTCCAACTTAAAGCAAATCGAACGAGCCCTTTCTGAAATATTGGCATATCTAACAAAATATGTTTGCGCGTGCGTAAGCGGAAATGCTAGATGGAATTTGTTAAAATTGATATGGGACCATCTAGGCACCAATCCACATAATTCCTAAAAGTTCATGAAAATCAGATGAATGGTACAAGATGATATCCCCTTCACATCGATTTGACTATAGACAGACAGACATACACCGAACCAAATTTGATCCTTGATGTCTGAAACGTAAAACGAGTGGGCATTTTCAAATCTGAGCATAAAATTATTTTTTACTTCTCGCACGAACACAATACTTTCGGTAGTGAGGAAGCAAAAAATAGTAGTTTTGGGATAATTAATATGACCACGCACGGTTCTGAGTCTTAAGCTTTCACAAATTATTATCGAATCAAGCTGCAAGCTCAAGCAATGCGTTACCTGGTGCGAGATAATAAGACTTGATGGTACAGACTGAGCAATATAATTATCAACTAGGCTTTAGCAGTAAGATAATAATAGGTCGAAAGGCATTGATGCAAGTCTGCGTGAACGGGGTTTGGCGTGAGAGTGAGCCAGACTGAACGTTGAAGGTGATACAAGAAGAAAAAATCTGGTGTGTCCACTCACACGACTTTCCTACCTATTTCAGACAATTTTTTATATCTTTACATACGTTCATGAAGAAACAAAAAAGAATTGAACTAAATTTATTTTCCTAAAAATTAATCAAACAAAAGATTTGAGTACGATTTATTTGATAAATTAAGGCAATGAAACCAGCTTAAGGTAGATCAGTGTAAAAATTTCAATACTCACTAATATTGCTTATCAAAAACTTTTTGCCATAGCTTCGTATTATCAAACAATAATTTCTGTTAAAAGTAGAGGAAATAGTTAAGGTTGTGTGATGCGGGCAACAGAATTTCTTTATTTCACTTAGTCATCTTTTCTGACACCACGAAATGAACTCATAATCTTTCATTATGCATCGAATCGCTGTAACTTCGTTAATAGCTGTCCAAAATGAACGATTTTTATATTATTTCACCGTATAATATATAATTAGGAAGTTAGGCCCCATAACATTTTTCTTTTCTTTATAACTTTATTTCCTGATTTTTTTCGGGAATTTAGTCTATATACGAAAATTGAAAGGACAATGATTAGAACATCATAGAAAAGTTTCATCAAAATCGTTAGAGCCGTTTTCGCGCTACAGTCTATAGAAAAACATGTTTTTCATTTATTGCGGGCAAGCTATTGCACATGGACCAACGAATCTCTGTCACAGGATTCAGTAGTCAAAACCCTACAAAATAAAAAAAGAAGCAACAAAATCGGTTCAGTAGTTCCCGAGAAAATCCTGGCACAGACAGACAGACCAATGTCTAAAAATGTGTTTTTCGGATTCAGGGGGCTGTGAAACGTATAGATCCGTTGAAAACCGCATGTCGGAAATTTGACCCGATTGCAATACTTTCCATACCTAGTATAGGTAGGTAAGTAAAAAACAGTTTTTATTTCTAAAACAAATAGTAAAATAAAAAAAAAATGATAAATACAAATCATCATTGAGTTAATTATTTCCAAAGGAACTCTGTAAATAAATGGAGTAATTCTCATTCACGTTGGTATTTAATTTAAATACTCCATTTAAATTCGACGCAGGTCCGAATTCGACATTTTATGAGTTATTTTACAGCAATAATTTAATTAACCATTTCGTCTTACTCGGTGCCCAAAGGTCTAGTTCAACAAGCAGACTAACGACGATCGGTTTAGTTTCTTAATCTAGACCTATAGGCAACAAGTGAGAAAAATAATTAATGAAGAAAGGTCGAAACTATAAACTACGACATTGAAATAACTTTAAAAAAAAACAAAGTGATAACATGATGGAAAATGGATTGGTCATAGGTTCCCATTAAGTTTAGAAATGGTACCCTGTGAGAGCAAAGCTAACTGAAGGTATTCCCATAGTTAATCAATGGTAACTCAGTAGTTAGCAAGCATTTTCACACAAGAAATTTCACAAAAGACGACCTGTTGGCTTTGAAGCCTAGTCAAAACTAACATTTTAATTAGTCTGTGAGAACTAGTAACTAGGAACTAGTACTGTTGAAGGTTATAAGGCTTTTTCATTAGTCGCAAAAATCTTGAGCGTGTTTCATGGATGTATGTTTCAAGTTTCTCTTCAAAATATTATTTATGTACTAGATTACAACGATGTAAAGATAAATATAATCTGAACATGCATTACAACTGGAACATTATATTTATCACAACTCACTCATAAGATGAACTGATAAACATTTAATCGAAGTTGATCCTGGAATGACATAAAAGAGAATGTAAAACTGTGCAAAGTGTAGTAGACTTGAAATTCTACAGCAGAATATCAAAGGTTTTTATTTAAAGATATGAAATATTAATATTTATTAAGTACAAATATAAATAAAACGTTGTTCTGTGTTCCTGATGTACTTTAATTACTATTTGATAACAACTATAAATATAGAAATTAAAATATCTTTCAATTCTTTTCTATTTTAAATAGTATCAATATCTTATTCAAACAAATTATCAACAAATCCATTTTATTCCAATGTGGTTAATAAAAGCTTTAAATAACTATTTTTTTATCTTTAAACATTTTATGAATTTGTTACTTCAATAATATCGAAATTAATTTTAAACTTCGATAAAATTCAACTTTTCTGTAAACCTAACGTAAAAAGTGATAGTGGAAAAAGTCAATAACGAATTGTTTTGTTTTATATGGTTTTATATTTATTTATTTAACGACTTTTGTAACGCTAGTCATATGCCGTTACCAAAAAAAGTCTTTGACATCTCCTTCTATCCTGCCACTCTTCTTTAAGCATGTCACTGTTCTTCCTTAACTCCCTCATACCAAGTTTATTTTATTTTATTTTTTTTGTAGAATTCAGTAGTCTATACTTTGTTTAAGTATCCTTATACCCCAAATAGAACAAAAACACCATTTTATGACCATAATGGAATGATTCTTATGCAATTATTGGATTTGTATTCAGTATCGATATGAACTTAATCGATTTCTGAATACAAAACAGATATATTAAAAATGTTTTTATCCATAAGAAAATATAAGTTATAATACAAACTTTAATTTGTGTGACTCGGGTGGAATTAAATGTGCGATAATGCCTGATGTCTGGATTTAGCAAGAAAAAACGAGAAATAATTATATTATAATTTCATATAATTAAATGAAATTTTATTTTTCAAAGAAATGTTTCCTTTTCTTTTTAAATTTTTGTGACTCCTTCCAGTTCTCTGATTCACAGCAATAATCTGAATTGTCGGGCTTCAAAGCTTAATTCATGACACGACTGAGTTAAATGAGGCAGGGTTTTCCTAACAAAAGTACGACTTAGATTCTTAGCTTCAGAAGGCAGCCTA